TCAGATCATTAGTGGGCAAAGAAATGCATATTTATGAGACAGCTGCATTTTACTTAGCTAACATGTTAAGTGAATAACTTGATTCTGGTACTTTTATTTAATGTAAAAAAAAGTCTTGTAAGGTGGGCACTATTGTAAGGTCCATTTAGTAGGTGGGGAACCTGAGCCTGGGGGTTTACATGCCTGAGGACATGGTTGATAAGTGATGTGGAGCAAAAAGCTCTTTTTACCTTTTGAGATTTGCACAGATTAAATGATACATAACAAAATGGATTGGGTAAACACACAAAGGGCTTTCATAAAGATGTAATTATTTGTAAATTATCAAGGGAAACGTGGCTATTATTTGTAATGCAAATTATTTGTAATGCAAACAAACAAACAAGTAAAAACCCAAATTGAAGTTTTCTTCCAAAGGGGATTGGCAAAATATGTGAGGATATCGCCATAAAATGTAAGCTCAAGCAGCTCTTAAAAAGACTGAGGTCCTTAAAATGATTTCAGCTTATAAACTTGTAGTTTTGTTATATTATTCAGTGGGAGAAAAATTCAGGTCACAAAATAGCATATAAATTATAATCCCAATTTTGTGAAAGGAATTCCCCTTAGTTAAGCAGAGAAAAATGTCTGATTGTATATGCTGTGCTTATCCTGGTGGAGGAATTATAGATTATACATATTTAGAGTCTATTGGTTTATATTTCTATATTATTTGAGTGTTCTTTTTTTTTTTTTTTTTGGTACCATGGATTGAACCCAGGGGCACTCAACCACTGAGTCACCTCCCCAGACCTTTTTTGTGTTTTATTTAGAGACAGGGTCTCACCCAGTTGCTTAGGGTCTTGATAATTTGCTGAGGTTTGAACTCATGATCCTCCTGCCTCAGCCTCCTGAGCCACTGAGGTTACAGGTGTGCGCCACCACACCCAGCTGAATATTCACTTTTCATGTAATTATTTGAAGCAGAAACAAAAAGCAAGAAATATTGTCAAATGCTAAAATGACAGATCACAACAAATGCACTAAAACTGCAAAACACTCCTAGGGCAGATGAGGTGAGTCAGAGAAGGCAGGCACAAGAGATCCAGATGATAAAAGAACTCACAGGATGGGGCTGTATAGAAGGAAGGCAGGAAAGATAGATGGGAGGGGTAAAGAGAAAGAAAAGCAAAGTGGAAGAGAAGGAAAGCAGAGTAAAGCTAGATTGGAGACCCAGTAGAACATTGTTCAAGGGTCAGCAAGGCCCCGTGGTAGCAGGGAAGATCCAATTGGAGTTTGGCTGATAATGTAGCTAAGGATAGGGAAGATGGTTAAGAGCATGGGCTCTGGATTGAAGCAGTACTGACAGAGCTAATAGCCACGTTTCCCTATGGATCCTATCTTCGCTAATAGTAGCTTTCAACCATGTGACTCCCTCTTGTCACGGGACTGTGAGAGGGAGTGCTGAGGCCCTTAGAGGTTGTAGTGCCTCCTTTACTACTCTTATGCAGAACTAGTGATGGTTCATGTTCCATGATGGTTTGCCTACAAAAAGGAGTCACCAATGCCCAGAGGCAGGATGTAATTGAGAAATACACTTTTTGTTGTGTTAAGACTCTGAGATTTGGGGGTTTGCCCATTTTTAGCGGGGTGTTTGCTCTAATTTGCTGTCATGTATTAGTTGTCTGTCTCTGGACAGATTATTAACTCCCTGAACATCAGCTATTTCACTTGTCAATGGAAATAATAATGGTATCTATCTCATTGTGTAATTGGAGGATTACATGAGAAAGTGTACAGTGTATTCAACATATGTTAGCTGTTATCATTTACAGAAGAAGTCAATAAATAAATCACCCCAAATGGGCAGCAACAGGTCAAGTAAATGTGAACAGATGATAGCAGGGATCATATAAGAAAATATTGTGGGATATAGTAACAAAAGTCAGGGAATATGGACTGTGAAGAAAGAGGATTGAGGATATAGACCCAAATACACCTGGGTAGTAAACTGTTGCTCCCTGTTGGAAGAAGTGTTTATTATTTGAATGAAACACTCATTTGTAGAGGTAGACTTATAGAGATAAGGTAGTTAAGATTAGTTACATATCCATAAAAATGCTTACTAAATTTTTATCATAAAGAAATTATAATTCCTTTTCTAACATATCAGTTTAAGTGGCCATAGTAGGTGTTAGATATGCCTAATTTTATTGACTCATTGGTTGACACTTTTAACCATTTGGTTATCTAAGTGATCTTGGGGCAGGGACTCCAAGACCACCTGTTCTACATTATGTAATTAGGGTAGAGGGAAGCCATGAGCTGGCCAGTGTGTGCTCCTGTGGTGGGATGGTGGGAGGGTGGAGAATGTTGTATATAAATCCAATAAATATAGCATATGTTTTATTCAGAATAATTTGATAGACATATTCTTTCCATCTTCTCCATCTCTTTTCCCTTTAAAGAGTAATATATTTGCATTTAGTAAGTATAACAGATATCTTATTGAAACCCCATTGAGCTCCATGATTTCATATTTTTTTAAAAAAATTAAATTTTGTTTATTCTAATTAGTTATATATGACATCAGAATGAAGTTCAATTCATATTACACACATAGAGCACAATTTTTCATGTCTCTGATTGAACACAAAATAGAGTCACACCATTCAGGTTTTCACATATGTACTTAGGGTAATAATGTCCATCTCATTCCACTGTCTTTCCTATCCTCATGCTTCCCTCCTTTGCCCTATCTAAAGTTCATGTATTCCTCCCATGCTCCCCTGCCATCCCCATTGTGAATCAGCATCCTAATATCAGAGAAGGCCTTTGGGTTTTTGGGACTGGTTAACTTCACTTAGCATTATATTTTCCAATTCCATCCATTTACCTGAAAATGCCATGATTTTATTATCTTTTAATGCTGAGTAATATTACATTGTGTACATATTCCATGTTTCCTTTATCCATTCATCTACTGCAACCAATATGGAAAGCAGTATGAAGATTCCTTGGAAAATCGAGAATGGAACCATCATTTGAGCCAGTTATCCCACACCTGGGTTTATACCCAAAGGACTTAAAAACAGCATACTACAGGAACACAGCCACATCAATGTTTATAGCAGCACAATTCACAATAGCTAAATTATGGATCCAACCTAGATACCCTTTAGTAGATGCATAAATTTTAAAAAATAAAATAAAATTGTTGATTCTGGCAGGAACAAATTGTTATTCTTAGTAGTGGCTACAAAAGTCCTTTGTAGGAGGGGTTTTGTTTGGTAATCTGGTTTGTCAGTGTGTGTGTTTGAATTTGCAAAATGCTCTTCTTGAGATTGAAAAAAAATGTCCACTTTCTTAAAAAAAACAACAACGGGGTAATCCTTTTTGTTGGGAGGGGGTTAGGACCCCCCAGTCCAGCTTGATATGGCTGCTGCTTTCAGGAACTTACTGTTTTGTTTAGTCCATTCTTTCAAGAAATGTTTACAGAGCCCTATTATCTGCTTCAGATACAGAGGTTAAAAAAAAAAAAAAATCTGTCTCTAGGAAGTACAGCCCAGTGGAGAGACTAAGGGTGAGATGCAGGATTTCTGGGTCCTCCAGATACTCAAGAATCACAGCCAGGTTGTCAGAGGTTCCCTCTTTGCTCTGGCTAAATATTACAGTCATGAGGACCTGCCAATTTCAATTTATCCAGTTATCCCCCCAAAAGTGAATGGTTCCAAAAGGCATTAGTGTGCTTTAGAACAGTGGGCTTGCCTTATGATGGCGGTGAAAACTGGAAACAGCTGGCACCTCTGCCTACTCACAGCTACCAGTTCAATGCTACTTCAAACTCTCTTGGACAGTCTCTCCATTTCAGCTCAGCAGAGTGAACCAGGACATCTTTTCTCTGGGCCCATCGGAACCTAGCCAGTATCTTTCTGATGAAACTATTCCCGTCTTATAAAATGATTAAACCCGGACCAGCTATTTTTATTTGATTCTACAAAAATAGCTGCTATCTGTCAGTCCCCGCTGGGAATCAAAGCTTCCACTCTTCAAGTATGCGCCCCAGTCGGCTTTGCCTTAAAATTTACTTCCCAGGCATTGGCATTTGGGGGCGCAGCTGGACCCATAACGCCAAGACAGCGTGTTGTTTCATTGACAGCGGCTCCCAGGGAGAGGTAAAGGTGCTTTCGCAGTGGGATTATTCCCCCTCCGGCTTGCAGGACTAGATTCTCCCAGGTTGCGAGTAAAACCCCAGGAGGGTCCCAGGACGCACTTGGTGGTAGAGGGTAGCTCTAGGGCTTTGATGTGGACACTTTCCTCCATGAATCGGCCCCTCCTAAATAAGGGGTGTGGATCCAGTTCGGAGCTCTCAGCTGAGCCAGAGTAAGGACCACGCCACCTTTTTCCACCCCGCCCCTCCATCCCCGGTGTGACCACTTTTGATCCCGCTCCAGACAAAGCCGACCTGAACTCCAGCCGAATGAATAAGGGGATCAGGTTGCTCTCTCGGCCTCCCCTCACTCCCCTCCCCGCTTCTCCCCTTGCCCACGTGACTTTCTGGAATCTTTGCCAAAGCTCCGAGTCCCTGGGTCCATTTTCACACCAAGCTAAAGGAGGGAGGAAGGAGGGGAGGGAGGCGGAGACAGGCGGAGTATGTGTCCTTTAAATGCGGGGATCTAGACGGGGATCTATTTTGTGCATTTCCGGGCTCTCTAGCCCGGATTGCATTGAGTTCAAGGGGGCTTTTCCAGCCTTTCTCCTTCCTCAGTGAATCTAAAATTCTGGCTCCTCCTCCACTCCCGTAATCGCACCTCCACCCTGCAGAGCAGCTCTGGTTGTTCGGTTAGGAGGTGGGTGTCGGTGTGGAGCAAGCCGCGCCCCCGCAGCCCTTCTCACTCAGGCGAGGGGCGGGGGCGAGAAAGTAGCAGCAGCGCCCCCCGCGCCCCCCTCGCCTTCCTTGCAAGCCTCGGAACAGTCTGCTGCAGGGAGCGCAGCCCGGGGCGGCGCGGTGCGGCTGCAGCTCCGGCGAGTTCCGGACGTGCACGCATCGCCACACAAAGTTTCCAGTCAGCGGCGCTGGGCGGCTGAGGTCCGCTGAGCTGGAGGTGGCCCCGCCAAGAAGTGGGTGTGAGTGGGTTTTTCGGGATTCCGGGAGACCCTTTCTGCCTACGCAGCTCGGACGCGGAATAGCAAGGGAACTTTAAAAAAGCTAGTCGAGACGTACCAGGGCCAAGATCTTCCCTGTGAGAGACCCCAAAGAGGACGGATCTAGCCCCAGGGAAATGCTGCGAGAGCAGATCAGTCCGTGACCGGCAACTTTCGGGTAGACTTTGCAGTGGAGAACTACGCTTTGCCCCTTCTCGTTCTCCCAAGCCCAGCCATCGTCGGTGTCCTGCGGTCCGGGAGAGCTCGGTCAGCTCCCCGCCCCAGCAGTGAGTGAATTGAATCGCCCGCCGGATCCGGCGCCTCGGGGCTGATGTGAGAGTCGCTCTTGGCCTGTCCATCTTCTTTTCTCCCCGGAGGAAACAGCCCACTGTTCTCCACCCTCTGGGCGTCCCCGGCTCCGGGCGCCGAAACCAGCAGTTTGGCGGAGAGCCGGCTCTTGGATGCTGAAGGCTGCACTCCTCCACTGTGGGTGCCAAGGCGGCGATGGGTTTCCTCAAAGTGTGGCTCAGGGTGGCCGTAGCGTTGGCGGAATTTGCAGTATTGCTTCATCATTCTGAAGGTAAAAAGAGCAGTGGCGCGTGTGTGTGAGTGTGTGTGTGTGTGAAGTTTAAAATGCTCAGCAAGTTTTATGGTGTCGTGGGTTAGGTGGAAGTTTTTGTCTTTTACTTTGGGGAGTGGGTGGGAGTGGAACTGGAGTGGG